CTTCAGTATCAAAGAAGGGAGAAAGATTCAGCACCAATACCGGACTCCACTAAAACAGTCTACTAAACTCTTCTAGATCCATAAGCAAGGAGAATACACCAAAGAATACTTATACTTGTTATTTTTCTTTCACTTGGGTATGCCAGCCAAACTGCCAAAAAAATCTATGGACCTGCTCACAGAATTCATCTTGACTACCACCCCTGCTTGGAAGCAGGAATGGCACTCACTTCCCAAATAAAATGCCTCCGGAAACCACGACGTTTGATAAATATTGATACCTGTAGAGGGGCTTCAGGCCTTTTGTTCATAGGGTTGCTGTGAGTCATCTACGACTCGATGGCACTTAACAACAACAACAACATTTAACGCACAATTTCATGTTTAATATAGAGAAAAAGAATATATTTAAAATGTAAAAAGACTTGATAGAACGGTAACACATGTGCATTTAAAACACTATAAAAGAGAACCTTTTAAAACAATCTCTCTCTCTCATTGTCCATCCTAGTGGGAACCAATTTAGAGCTCATCCTTAGCAAGTTTTCAGAGACTCTAAATTGTACAGGGGAATATTTTCCATCTTTCTCCCATGGAGTTGCTGGTAGATTCAAAATACTTTGGAGTCAGCGTGCGAAATTCCCTCTGGACCAAATAAGTGCAAGTTCTCACCCTAGATATGATGCAATTTGGAAATACAGTTTTTGCAGATATAATTTCCTTTTGTGCAATATATAGCCTCGGAAAACCTGATGGAAGTTCAGCTATGAATTTGCTTCAACTCAAACAACAACAAGAAGTTAAAGATGTGGACATAAGGATACAATGAATTCTGTATGTGCTCTAAATGAGTTTGATATAAGAAAAAAAGAGGGAGATTACAGGCACACAGACATTTAGTGAAGAATATGCCACAAGACAAAAGCAAAGACAGGAGGCAGGTTGCTACACGCTAAAAAATGCCATGAGCTACCAGAAGCTTTAAAGGGAAAGAAAGACCCTTGATTACAGTCTTCAGAGGAAGGATGACCCTAAGGACATTTTGATTTTAGACTTTTGGCCTCAAGAACTATTCACAGAATGGAATACTATGCTGCACTTAAAAATAAGAACTCATGAAATACTTCACAAAATGGGTGACCCTGGAGGACATAATGCTGAGTGAAATATCTCAGTCACAAAAAGACAAATATGGCATAATGCCACTGTAATTAAAAAGGAGTAACATAGGGGATGGGCCGAGACTGAGAAAAATAGGATAAATAATGTATGCTGCATTGAAACAAAGGAGGGAGAGAACTGTTTAAAAGGGATATATGATTAGATATTATTGTTATGACAGGAATCTAGAATGAAGTGGACATAGTGGAGTGGACTTGGGGGAAGGGATTGAATAACAATGAAATAATTTTTTCTTTTACTTTTCAAAAAGAAAAGCGGATTGGGGGAGGGGTAGGCAGGGAGAAAACTGCAACAATGAATAAATGGAAATCCAAAGTCTCTGTAAACTTTCATTAAAATAAAATTTAAAAATATGAGAAAAAAAAGAACTCTAAGCAAATACATTTTTGTTGCTTTAGCCCACAGAATTTACCATAATTTGTTATGGAAATTCTCAAATGGAACTCTCAGAACATAATACAGAAAGCATAAAACAATTTATCAGAATATTAATACATGTTAAGATAAGAACTATAAAGATACACATTTTCTTTCAAACAAATAATTTAACAATTAATTTTAAAAAAAAGCTAATTCGTATCCATTCTACTTCTTTGTGTCTAAATAAATCTTCATTTTAAATAATAAGAGTACTTTATGTGAATCTATCACTGTTAGGAAAACTTAAATAAATTAACTTATTTTGCCCACAAAAGGCCTCTCAGTCAGTAATTTTATCTCCATTTCACAGATGGGAAAATGCTCTAGGGAGCTAAAGCGTTTACTAAAGGACACGAGAGTACTCAGGTTTAAGGGAATTGAGACAGCCTGTGTCTGGACTTCAACAAGACACTCTACAATCTCGATCATTACAGAGCATATAAGAAACAAATGGAAGAGTCAAATGGTTCTTTCCCTATACTCTACAAATGTGAGGAAGCTGAAGATGCGTGGTGCATAGAGAGCTAGAAACAACCTAGATCTCTGGACAGAAGTGGGACTGAGCAAATCACAGCTTAAGGCTAGTTAGTCTTCAGAATGAGACGTCTTACAATTCTCAGGCTCTGTCTTTATTATTATCTCTTTTTTTGTTGATTGCCTTCGAGTCGAGTACAACTCATAGTGACTCTATGAACTAAAGGCCTGAAGCCCCTCTACAACTATCAACATTGGTCAAAATTCATAGAGTTTTCGGAGGCAAGTTGTTTAGGAAGTGGATGCCACTCCTGCTTCAAAACATGTCATAGAATATTATTGGTTGAGTCACCTGCAATGCATATCGACCCTATGTACAGCAGCTCTGAACCCTTCCCTGTCTAGTACCAGTGTCACTAACTCAGACACACCAATCCCTATCTCCCAGTTACTGTATCACTTCATCTCATCCAGGTACTCCCTCTCCTGCGCTGTACCTTCACCCTGTTCTGCATAAAGATTGAAAAAGTATGGAGACAGGATACATCCCCGACACACTCCTTTTTTGATTTTGAACCATGCAGTGTTTCCTTGCTCTATTTTGAGGACTGCTTCTTGGTTCAAGTATAGGTTTCATATAAGCACAATCAAGTGTTCTGAGATTCCCATTTTCCTCAAGGTTAGCCACAATTTATTGTGATCCACACAGGCAAATGCCTTTGCATAGTCAATGAAACACAGATAGATGTTCTTCTGGTACACTCTTCTTTCTGCCAAGATCCATCTGACATTGGCAATAATGTCCCTAGTGCCACGACCTCTTCTAAACCCAGCCTGTATTTCTGGTAGTTCTCTGTTAATGTACTGTTTAGGTCTTTTCTAGATAATCCTCAGCAGGACTTTGCTAGCAAAACGACAACAAAACCCACACAATTCATTGCAGTCCAGTCAGAACTGACTTAAAGCTCACCACCCAGTGGGTTTCTAGAGGATGTAAATAGCATAATGGACTTCCCATCTTTCTCCTAGAAGGCTGTTGGTAGATTCAAACCATTAGAGAGGCTCAGCCTTTGTGTCAATAGTTCAACTTCCTACGGACCAGGTCACTGCATTATGAATCCACCAGCTGCTCTGTGGGAGAAAGATGGGCAATTTCCTCTTGTATGATTTGTTGTTGTTGTTGTTGCTTACCATAGAGCTGACTCTCTGGTGTGCTTTCAGAAGCAGTTAATCACAGGAGATGCATGCCTTTCGGATGGCAGCACAGCTTATTTTCACTAGGCTATCAATTTACTGCCACTAAAAACCCACTAGAGAATCAACGATGAGTTGCTTCCAACTTGAAGATACAACGATTCCTCACTTATAGACTAGTTCATTTTATCGAATATTTTGTATTTATGACAATATTTTAAAAAATCTACTTTGCAACTACTTTACACACTCAAGATGTACAACGGTAGTAACACAGGAAGTAGAGTAATGCTGGCGATGATACGTAAAGTTTTGCACACACTAAGGAAAGACATGATTCTCAGTAATCTGGCAGTTACATAATGATGCAATATGGCAGTTACATACTGCATGAGTAAACACAGAAACCTAATGTACTGCTCCCCATCATTTTTGTGTAATGTTTCTTTTCTTGATCTTTGCAACTTACCCAGGTTTAAAAATGAGGTCTGGATAAATACAAGTCATCTGTGACCTTATATGAGCTTCATCTCATCTCCAATATATGCTTTCTAATGTTTACAAAACAAATGTTCCAGTCAGTGGGTTTCTGTCAATTATGCCTATTATTTATTCTGTTCCAAACACTTCTTTGGCCTGCAATCCAATGGAGTGTGTGAGTTGGAACTAACATGATAGTAGTGAGTTTGTGGGTTCTTTTTGGATGACAGGCTTAGGGAAGGTAGAGAGAGGAGAGAGAGAGAGAGAGAGAGAGAGAGAGAGAGAAGGAGAGGAGAAGAGGGAGGGAGGAGAGCGTGCACATATGAGAGTGCATACACAGCAATATTCAGGAGAGTATAAATTGTACAAATTTCCATTTATCTTTAGTGTCTCTGTGTGTATCTAAAGGAACACATAAATAGTTCTATCTTACACAGTTGCTGAGCTGAGATTCTTGAAGACTATATCTACTTTCTTTTAAAGTTAACAGTGTAATTTGGAAAGACAAACGTAATTATAAAAACCATAGATTAAAGGGCATCTCCACAGACATAGATCCTACTCCATATTTTTAATTAGCTATTCTAAAAATATTAGTTTAGTGTTGCTACTGTGATGTATTACCATTAATTTACAGCTGATATAATTTTATTATCTTATAGTTTGGTGGAATAGTGAAATATAAATTTTAATAAGTTGAAAAACTGTTAGCATGGCTGCATTACTTTCTGGAAACTAGGAGAAAATCTGCCTGACCTTTTTAAGTTTCCAGAAGTTGCCTTCCTGGCCCCCTTACACTACCTCCAAATAAATTACTATTGCATCTCTTCGACTATTTTTCCACTGTAGCACCTTCCACTTCAATTTTAAGGACTCTTCTAATTCCACTGGGCTCTCTTGAAAAAATGTAAGAAAATCTCCTTTTCTGCTAATTAGCAAACTTACTTCCATCAACAACTTGAATCCTCCTCTGACATTTAAGAGAACATAGTCACAGTTTTTAGAATTAGGAATATATATTGGGAAAGTTATTAATGACATTTCAAAAAGGCCATTATTAGTCTTCTTAAACCAGATGAACAAAAAATTGCTCATGAAAATAAGATTTCTTTTACATAAATAGGGAGTTTATCAGATTCTTGAATGCAAATAAAACAGAATCCCATTTGCCCTTTTTCCCCATCAAAAAAAGATATACAAGATACTCAAAAGAACAGTATCACAATGGTTACTCATATCCTTTTACTTACAGCCCTCATAGATGTCAGTGGGAATATGTACTGCTGCATGCTGATAAGATATTTGTCGACCAAAATTAGCATCTTCGACAAAAACAGGTTTTATCCTCTGGCTGCCTGGCTCACTGTCATTTTTTTCAGGCTATATAGAAAAAGAGACAAGAAGCAGGATATTATATTCATACCAACAAAGATATTCTCACATATCTTCATTTATCAAGTGTATATTCCTCAAAAGTATGGTTCTACAAAAATATTTAAGGACACTATACCAATATTGACACTAGATTCTTAAATTTCTAGACAGTTATTAGCATTTACATTGTACTGTTATGTTATCATGCACATTATCATCTACTACATCTCCTAATTTCGTCAATGTGGAAGTCATACAGTATCATCTTAAGAGGCAGAGACCTTTCCCAGATGTAACACTTATAAATATGCACATGAAAGTAACAAGATGATTTTTTAAATGAAATGGACTTAAAATAATCACCTGAAATAAACTTTACATTTTATGCTGTGAAATGTACCTGATGCAGTTGATTTGTATTCTTGTTTTGCCAAGAATTCAAATTTATAATGATATAAATTGAAGGATTCCTATTTAGTAATTTTTAACATGTTCCACTTTTATTTTACAAAAAATAAAAAAACAGACTACAAAATATCTATTCTAATTCTAAGCACAATTAAACCCTGACTTCAACTGATTTGTTTCCTAATCAATAATAACTTAAGAAAATCTCACAGGAGTTTAAAATCGAAGATTAGTTTTCCATTATTCTAGTGCATTTTTGAAGTTGCATTTCCTTATTGTCCTCTCCTAGGAGGAAATTGAAATTATATATCATTTATCCAAAATGCATCTGCAATTTTTTTTACTACTTAAGACCTTTCAGTAATTTAAACTATTATTATTTATGTCTTCATGAAATAAAAATATTTGAATCTAATTCGGGACTATATTTTAAACCCTTTTAATAGAGAGATTAATTATTTCTATATTATAAGTTTTATCTCCACAAAACAAAACTGGAAAAAATTACATACTTAGACTATTTTGGCAGAACACATTTGGAACATGTGTAATAAATGACAGAGAAAAATTAACTGGGCAGCCAGAAAGTTTCTATGAAGTATAGTACAACATGGCAACAATCTAAAGTCAAATACAAAATTAAACTTCTTTTTTTTTTGTTACAAAGAAGTGACAACATATTTTTCGTATTGCTGTGAAAATTAAAAAGACCATATAACATATTACAACCCTGAGATTTTTCTATCAGTGTGTATATATCTAGATATGTCTTTTTCTAGGAAAAAACTGTCATAGAGAAGTGTACTTGAACATAAGTATCAGCAATATAAGAAGATCTTGTGGTGCAGAGGTTAAAACTCTCACTTAAAAGGCCAAGAGATTCAACCCACAGCCAAACAGCAGGAGTAAGATGTGGCAATCTGTTTCTTAGAAAATTCACAAATC